AAATGTAGTCACCATACTGTCAGCAGGGTATCCGAGAAGGCATATCAATACAAGGTGACAGTCAGAAGCATACAGTTGTAGCAATATACACAATTACAGGGTTTTTTGCATTTCAGCATAAAATAAAAGTGTTAAAAACTGTCATGTATAATACATTTTTATTTATTTATGAAGCCCGGGCAATGATACTCTCATCAATCTAAGAATCATGGTGAAACATCGTAAAAAAGCATGATGTAGTAATCATGTAAATAAAGAGTAACTTTGTAGAAAATACCAGGGAAGATATCAACTTGAATAGTAGAGAAGAGTAAAAGGAAGAAAGGGAAAGAAAAAAAAGGAGTATCAAAGGCAGCCAGGGCATTGCCTCCCAAACCTCATTCATCCACTGATAAGTATTGTATTCAATGTTCCCACATCTTGTCAAACTTAGTCTGGTTATTGTGGAGGGTGCAGGATAACTTATCATTAATCATGATCCAATTTAATTTTTGTTTAAAAAAATCAAACATTAATATCAACTGGTTCCAAACAGCGCATAACAGCTATCTTGATGATCAGAATCATACTGTACATGAAACTAGGCACCTTGTTTTTTTTTTTTTCAGGAAATCATTATCCATTTTCTGAAAATAAGTAATCTCTGGGGTTTTGATACTACTTTTGGATTCCGCTACTGATCCGGACTTAGACTGTATAGGTTGTAAACAGATCCCTCTTGCACTGGCAGACTGAGAGATCCCATCCTACAGTCCCGCAGTGAGTATCCCTCCATCCCAATCTCATAGGACACAGCCTGCTGTTTCCATTGCAGATCATCCTGGACCCACCCTTAGAGAAATTCTCTCAGCAGTCACTACATGCTGTAGCGGTTCTTACCAAGCAGGTTAAGGGGATGAGGATGGAATTGTCCCTGGTGCGTCAAGATATGCAGAAAATGTGGGATCGCACTGCGGCCTTCGAGGGGAGAGTGAGTACCCTGGAAAATGATTGGCAACCATTACATAGGGACGTGCGATATGTGCAATCGATCGCTCCTACTAATGCCTCTAGATTGGAAGATTTAGAAAATCGGTTACACCGCAACGATGTGCACACAGTAGGTATCCCGGAGCATGCTGAGGGTAAAAATCCTGTAGCCTTTATTGAAGTTTGGCTGACCTCTACCTTTGGCAATGATGCATTCTCCCTCATGTTTGCATTAGAACAAGCACACAGAGTTCCAGCATGTGCTCCTTCAGTAGGTGCTCGTCCTCGACCCTTTTTGTTCAGACTCCTCAATTATGGGGACAGGGATACCATTCTCTCCAGGGCCAGAAGCAAGGGTAACCTGTCAGTTGACAATGTTCAAGTATCCATATTTCCAGATTTTTCTGTGGAAGTTCAAAAATAACATGCAAAATTCCTGGATGTCAAGAAACGTCTTCGGTCATTGGGCCTTTAATATGCCATGCTATATCTGGCTAAACTTCGCGTGCTTGCGGATGACGCTTCTCACTTTTTTGATAATCCTAATGCAGCCTTGCAGTGGTTAGATGGAGCGGAACATCGTCTGGCAAACTTCCCTGGTACCTGACCTTGGGGATCTGGTTGATGCTTAGTGCCTTAAACTCAGCTTAGCAGAACAGCAGGGTATTGCTCTCACATTTCCTTCCCTTTCATGTCTGATTTTTTCCCCGCTTAGGTTGGGGCTCCTCGCCTCTTAGTCTTTCCTTGCATTTACCTGCTGTGTGCTTGTCCACAGGACATTGTGCAAACCCCAACCTGCTTTTGATCCTGAGGGGACCTTTTGGCTTCCTGCCAGTGTCTTCAGTTAATATTATGGCTCTGTTGGCCTACATGTCAGTAATAATTTCAGTATTCTCCCTTGTTTTGTTTATGGTTCACCTGGGATGTCTGTGTTTAGTGGAGTGCATGTTGCTGGGTTTATCTTGTTTCCTGCGGCTGTCCTCCTGGTCACCCAGACCCATGTGATCTGGGCCCCTCCTACTGCCTACCTGCTCATTGCTCCCCTCAGGGGCGTTATATCTGTCCACGATTGAGTTATCCTTCCTATTTTATACATATGTACTATGTCTGTCTCCCATAAAGAATTGATGTTTTTATCCTGGAATGTAAGGGGCCTGGGAGATAAAACTAAATGGGGTGCTGTTTTCCATGTACTTAAACATTTAAAACTGTCTGTAGTTTATTTGCAGGAAACCCATTTGAAATCTGACACTGTCGGTACCCTCCGTTCTCGTTTATTTCCCATACAAAATCATTCCTTCCACTCCATGTTTTCTAGGGTGTATGTATCCTCATCTCTAACTCTATACAATTTGTTCATGTGCAGGAGTGGATTGATGCGGAGGGCAGGTATATTTTCCTACTGTGTACTTTGAATGGGTTTTGTTGCATAGTGGCTGTGGTATATATCCCTCCGCCCTACTCTTCAGAGATCATTAAACGCCTAGCTCAATTTATGGCCAATCATCCTGATGTTCCCTTATTGGCATTGGGTAATTCTAACAATTGCTTACTCCCTAGCTTGGATAGATTGCCTTTGGGCGGTAGGGGCAGACATTTATCCTCTCAGCCTACCCCATTTGCTAATTTATTGGTGGAACTGAGCCTCCGGGATGTGTGGCGGATGAAGTATCCGACAGCAAAATGTTATTCATGTTTTTCTGCTACTTATGATGGACTTTCACGCATAGATTTGGGCCTTGGGAACATGACTATACTGCCATATGTGTTTGATGCTGTGCATATACCCAGGGCTCTATCTAACCATGCCCCTTTCTGGGTCAAGCTACAGGTGTGTTATACCCACTCTCGTCCGCTGTGGAAGGTGAACCCATTTTGGTTGACACTGTTTTTGGAGTCTGAGTTGATTCCAGGGGAGTTATCAGACTTTCTGCAGTGGAATAAAGGCTTGTCCCCGCCATGAATGGTTTGGGATGCAATGAAGGCCTTCCTGCGGGGCTTGATTATCCATGAGAATTCAATAATTAAGCGTAGATCCAGGGAGTGGGGAGGAAAAGGTACGGTTAGATGTTCAACAGTGGGAGGTTCAGATGATCCAAGACCCAAGCCCCTGTAACCGTACCTCCTGGAAAGAAGCCCAAGCCCTTTATGAATCAGTGCTTACTCAAGTGGCAGATAAGAAGTGGTATTTTTTGCAACAAAAATATTTTGAGGAAGGGGAAAGTACGGGACACCTTCTTGCTCTTGTAGAGAAGTCACAGCAAGGAGTGTCCACTGTAGACAAGATTGAGGATACTCATGGAGTGATCTGCACGAGTCATGAGGAAATCCTGAGTTTTTCATCACTTTTATGATGATCCGTATGCTTCTAAAAAAACTAAAACTACCCATTCTGAGCTTTTGCAGTTTCTAGACACCTGCTCTTTTCCTGTTTTATAGGAGACTGACCACAGAGAACTGGAGATGCCAATTACTGTTGAGGAGTTATCTGAAGCCTTGGCAGGCACCCCCAGTAATAGATCTTCGGGTTCAGATGGATTGCCATTTGAAATCTATAATAGATACGGTGCGCAACTCCTCCCGGCATTACTCAATGCCCTGAATGCCGCCATGGATGGAAATGGTTTGCCCCCCTCCATGAATGAAGCTGTTATTATAGTATTATTGAAGCCTGGAAAAGATCAATTAAAACCTGACTCCTAACGACCAATTTCCCTTCTGAATACGAAAGTTAAATTGTTGGCCCGGGTTCTAGCTACTAGACTGGAGTGGATTATTGGTAATATCGTACATAGACTTTTTTTTGATTTGCAAATTCCGGTGGACAATCTTGGGGGGAGGGCAATTTTGTCTTTGGATGTGGCCAAGGCATTTGATAGTGTGGAATGGCCTTATCTATGGGAAGTACTGTCTATATTAGGCTTTGGTTCCAAGTTCATTAGCTGGGTGCGCCTTCTCTATGTGGCCCCTAGTGCCCGAATCCGGGTTAACGGAGATGTGTCAGATTCATTCAGGCTGCAGAGGGGAAGGAGGCAGGGCTGTCCTCTCTCGCCCCTTTTGTTCACTTTGGTGTTAGAACCTTTAGCGATTTTGGTGAGACAATCTCTGGACATCGCCGGTTTTACAAGGGGTGGTCTTTCGGAAAAGATATCCCTTTATGCGGATGACACACTGTTGTATTTGGGCAATACTTCCAAATCCTTGGATGCTGTTATGACCCTTATTGAATGCTGTGGTGGATTTTCCAGCTTTAAAATTAACTGGCATAAATCGGTGTTGATGCCCATGGATCCCCCTCCCAGACTGTGCACAACACATCCAACTAGTGTCTACATTTAAGTATTTGGGGGTGGTAGTCTCTCCTGATCCTAAGCAGTATATTTCTCTTAACCTTTTACCTCTACTCCTTCAGCAGAAATTGAAATGTAACAGTTGGTGTAAACTCCCTCTGTCGGTGGTGGGTAGGGTCAATTTAATTAAAATGATTTGGGCCCCGCAAAGTCTTTATATTGTTCATAATTCTTCCATATGGATTCCTAAGAAATGGTTTCATCGCATAGAGACCCAGTTTAAGAGGCTTATTTGGAAAAAACAAGTGGCTAGGATAAAGTTGTCCACATTGCAATATGGCAAGGAGTCGGGGGGTTGGCAGTTCCTGAGCCCAGACTTTATTTTTTCTGGTGGCCCAATTGCAGCAACTGGTTGGCTGGGATTCACCTGATAATACTGATCCCATTATTAGTTTGATTTCCTTTCCTGATCCCACCATTTTGTCTCTTTCTCATCTTGACATGGCTCTACTGGTCCTTCCATCCACGGCTCCAACTGTGGACCTCTTGAGGCGTGTCTGGAGTATGGTAAAAGCGCCCTTTCATATTACCGGCTTTCTTTCCTGTACTCCCTTGTTGAATAATCCGCAATATGTAGAACTGGCTAAACTGGAGGTTTTTCACGACTGGAGGGATTGAGGCCTGAAATTTGTATCTCAGCTATATTCAGGGGCAATCCTAAAGTCCTTTTCTCAACTGCAAATGGAATTTACATTTACACATAAGCATTTTTATCGTTATCTTCAGCTATGCCATGCGATACAGGCTTAGTCTTCGCTCTCTAATCTCACATTGACAGACTCAGTTTTTCTTAAGGATGTCACTCGGGCAGGGGCGGACTGACCATTTGGAAACTCGGGCACTGCCCGAAGGCCCAGGGTAAGTAGAGGCCCCCAAGAGATGCCCCTGGTACCTTTTTCACAGGCTTTTTTGAGTTTGGGCAAGGACACAGGGGCCCCATGATCCCCTATTGCCCGGGGGCCCCATGAGTTGTCAGTCCGCCCCTGCACTCAGGCAACCCGTAAGAAGGGCATGATTTCTCGGGTATACACCCAGCTATTGTCCACAGCACAGGATCAAGCTAGTCTCCGGAGCAGGGCGCAGTGGTCCCGGGATATTGGAGAGTTTGCTGGAGAAGTCTGGGATGCTGCTCTGGAATCTGTTCCGGGAATTTCTCTTTCTTCCTCTCATAAATTGTCTCAATTGTTTATTCTGCATCGAGTATATAGGACCCCTGTGCAACTGTATCAGTGGGGCAGGCGGGATTCACCTGATTGTCCAAGGTGTAGGGTCCAGCAGGGTGATTTCACTCATATGCTCTGGCATTGCCCCAAGTTACATAGATATTGGAGTGAGGTTCTCCTATTTATTTCTCTAGTATTGCAATATACTGTCCCCTAGGATCCCTTGCATTGTCTGTTGGGAGCACTGGACCAAGAACTGTTCCAATTAGGAGGGTATATTATGGTATCTAGACTTTTATATCTGGCTAGGAAGTTGATAGCAAGGTACTGGTTATCGTCGGCTCCTTGGACTAGTAAGCAATGGATAGATTATGTTAATTCTTTACTCTCATGGGAGAAACTCACGTACCGACATCACAATGCTTATCGTAGGTTCCAGCAGGTATGGCAGGGTAGGCTGGATATACCTGGGCTCACTCCTCCTCAATCGATAGTGGACAGACTTCTGAAGGTGTGATATTTTATATCAGGTGTGTGGCTCCACTCCTTCCCCTGGGGGAGTTCATGTGCATCTCCCATTCTTTTTGATGAGACGTCTTGGGTGAACCAGAGGTTGTTGTTGATGTGTTTTTTTTTTATTGTTTGAAGATATGTTTTAGGCTTTGTTCCTTTCCCCAATTTCTGTTTACATCTGGTTGGGAAGGAATAAGATGTAAAAAGGATAAAGCAAGATATTATCAAGAAAGTTTTGGATCCTTGTGGTCTCTGTTTTGTTTGATTACCATTTCTGTTATTCTGTTTATTATGGGAACTGCGTATCCACATTGTTCTATTTATGTGTAATCCTGCTGTTGCAATAATGTCATTGTTCCATTTTCTCTATTATCTTGACAATAAAAGTTGTTTGGATTAAAAAAAAAATACATTGGTACATTACAGTGTGTCAAAGGTTTCTTTTATTTATCTGCTGTCTTCCACTTTTTCTTTTTCCTTTTTTCTCTCCTTTTTCTCATTACTGTCCCTTATCCCTCTTAGGTCCCTTCATCAAAAAAAGACAAAAAAAAAAAAATGGAGGGGCTCTGCAATTGCATCCCCCCACAACATACTACAGAATATAATTAAATATGGCAGTTTTTCATCCTTAAAGGATTCTAAGGTATTGAACCGAGCAGCCTCACTGGATATATCATTTAATTTGTTCTATCTTTAGTTTGTCTTATTTTTGTATTATTATGTAGTAGTGATGTATTTATAGACAATCACATTGTACACATTAGAAATGTATCATATATTTGCATAAGTGGGCATTTTTGTGTATTGAAGTGGAGCTGCACTGTATCTGAGCAGCACAGGCCAAGGGCATTATTTGATTAATTTTTGGTGTTCTGGGTGGGCTCCCTCATCCATCCATGTTTCCATGCTTTGTTTTGCTGGGGGGAGTCGCTTGAAAGGACACCCCCCTGACATTTCCGGCCGTGGCCATCTTGGGTGGGGGATGATGATTCGTGTGGCAACTGCTTCCTGGATTCCATGTGGCCTTGGCTTTGGAGTGCAGGCAGGGGAGTGTGCTTGGCTGGGGGCCCTCTCCTCCCATCCTGGGGACTCCTGGCATGTGTGGCATTATTTGGGCATGGAGGCTAGGAGGTAACCAGGGAAATGTGAATAGTTTGGGACAAGTGGATATGATGTACTTTCCTATCTATTTGCTGGTACTGACAGCATGGGGATTCAGGGTGGTCGTAGTTGATTGAAGGAATGAGGTAACATTTTAAGAAATGTGATTATTATTAATATAATTATAAGTATTATTTTATTATAATGTGTTGCTTTAAATAAAGAATTAAAAACAGATTGTTTGCTATATCTTACTACTCTGATAAGTCCCAAGAAAGATTGAGGTCTCTTTCCCAGGGTTCCATATAGGAGCCATTACAAGTCAATTGGCTATATCTGAATCAAGTGGCTATACCTTTTGCAAGAGCTCTCAAATGGGGTCAAAGATAAAGAATGGTTCATCCTTCATCCTTTTAAATTAGTCTCCAAGGCTTAGTTGTATTGGAACATATCAGAAAGTAGCTACAATTTGGTTTTGTAATACTCTAAAGAATGCAATTTATCTCCAGATAAGAAGCACTCTATTCACAACAAACCTTTATTCTACCACCAGTGGAAGAGGTGTGGGGAAAGTCTTGGAGTAAACTCTCGGCTATTTAGCAGAGGAGACAAATGCGTATGAGGCGGGCAAAGTTTCTTCCTCATCCTTTGTATGTGGCTAATGAACAGTACAAAGTAGGACATAAAATGGGAATACACAGTTTACTAGGCATCCACACCAAAGCTGCTATAGACCCTACAGAGCAGGATAGTGCTTCCATACCTATTTGATTTCACTTGAATATACCAAAATATTTTTGATGTGTGTGAATTGCAGTTTACCCATGGCTGGTACAGCAATTCTCTCCTACGGTGTTCTGTAGGCTTTGAAATTATACTCATAAATGGCTATTTTGTCTTTAAAATAGGCCTTTCACTAACCTCTCCTTAAATCTCACAAAACATCGCTAAAGTTAATATTAGTAAAAGTTTCTGTTTGTAGACCAGGGTTGCTCAAATGGGGTTCTACCACAACGAGTCCCCAGGGCTTCCATCACAATCTAACCCTCAATTGCCAGTGGCTGAGAAAAATGAGAAAAATAAAGAGATTCCTTTATCCACACAAATGAGGTGGATGAAGGAATCCCCCCCTCCCTGCTGGGACACTATTCTGACAGCGGGACTCGGGAATGTCAGAATACACTGATCATTAGTTGCAGTCAATTACAGATGCTGATCGACAACAGTTTTACAGCATTTTCATTGGAACGACGTTGATCTAACAATTGATGGGATAGGAATGGTCACACTGAACGAAATTTGGCCAGTTCCTGCTGAACTGCCCAAATTTCTATCCATCTATGGCTGGGTCTGGGCAGCACAGTGACTAAATGGTTAGCACTTCTGCCTGGCAGTACTAGGGTCGTTGGTTCGAATCCCAGCCACGGCACCTCCTGCCTGGAGTTTGCATATTCTCCCTGTGCCCGCGTGGGTTTCCTCCAGGTTCTCTGGTTTCCTCCCACACTCCAAAGACATGCTGCTAGGTTAATTGTCTCCTTTCTAAATTATTCCTAGTATGTATGAATTTCAGTTAGATACCTTAGATTGTACGCCCCTTGACGGTTAGGGACTGATGTGAATGTACACTATATACAGTATGTAAAGTGCTGTGTAAATTGACGGTGCTATACAAGTACCTGAAATAAATAAAATCTATGGCTACCTTAAGTGTTATTTACCCGCAGCAGAGAAAAATCGGGTCTTCTGCCCTGCCAGACAGGGCTGTGTAACTCTCAAAACTTGAAGAATAGAGATACAAAATTTTGTCAGGTAAACTAGCTTCTCCATGTGTATTTCGCCTTTGTTTTAGCTATTTTCCTAGAGTTCAGCTTTAATCATCTTTAATTTGGAGACTCTATGAGAAGCTACATATAGAGAGGCACACCAAAAAATCTAATTCATGAGATTAGAAATATTAATAAACAATGAAGCAAATTTGCACACAGTGCCTCTGACCCAAGTCTCCTTGATCTTTTCAGTTTCAAATTTTAGAGCTAACATACAGCCCACATAAACAATCTGACATTGGACTTAATAAAATGCATAAACAAGCTTTGGGATATTCAGATAAAGCAACAAATGAGGACATGAAATAATGGGCTTGATTTATTTGCACGTTTCTGCTTGCGGTAACAAGCACGGTCATTTGAGTTCACAAACAAAAACATGTCTTTTCCCAGGAAATCCCAACCGTTTCTAAGCAGAAACTAAGTCTGTTTATGTTTTTTATTGCTATTACTGAATGGGAAATGCATATTTGTAACTACTATAATGATTTGGTCCTTAAAGGCTAACTCCACCTTTTGGACATTACTTGTAATTCTTAATGAAATAAGGGTGCAGTCATTACCGCACTTGTAGTCCAGTGACACTTCCTCCAGTCCATACTCAATTACAAAAGATACACTGATTATGCATGCCATGCTTTGCAGGCTCCTATGAAAAAAAAATAGTAAATGCACTTTTTTTTGCTTGTAATAGGTGGAATTAGCTTTTAAAGTGATACTAAAGTCTGTTTTGTTTTTCTTAAGAATAACAAGAATGTCATGCTGACCTGCTGTGTGCAGTGGTTTTGAACAGAGCAGCCCGAATCCTCCTCTTCTTGGGTCTCCCGCTGGCGCTCCTGGCCCCTCCCTCCTGTCGGTGCCCCCATAGAAAACAGCTTGCTATGGGGGCACCCGAGTAGGTGCGCTCCCGAGCCGCTGCTCTGCATGTTTATTCACACACAGGGCCACCACTCGGCCCCGCCCCCTCCCTCTCCTGATTGGCTCACTGGCTGTTATTGACAGCAGTGGGAGCCTATGGCCTCAGCCACTCAAGAGTGAGAGTCCCCAGAGAACTGGGGCTGTCGTGGACATCGCTGGATCAAGATGGCTCAGATAAGTGTTATGGGGGCGGCTGCACACAGAAGGTTTTTTACCTTCATGCATAGCATGCATGAAGGTAAAAAACCTTGAGACTTTAGAACCACTTTACCTATGTCATTACTTAAATTAGAACTTCGGGCAAAAAAACTTCTTTACACGTCCTTGTTGCTGATTTCCTACCTTCACTGAATATGTCATCCATCTTCTGGTTTCGCTCAGTAGTTGCTCTGAAATAGCCTATACATTTTCAAATCAAACCAATTATTCTCTTTGGTTTACGGTTTTTAAGACCAGCTATGCCTCCAATTCCCCCATCCATTGGTCTTGGCAAATCCCTTCTGTAGTTCTTTCTCCAGGAAGCAGTGATGTCATTTTGTCCTACTTGCAATGGTGGGCGGACTGAGGCTCTCAGACACATTCAACACGTACAGGTCTAGTGTACCCGCTTATATTCACTACAATTCCCTGTGGTTGATGGAAATTGTAGTTTCCTTTTATTGCAGAGAGAGAGAGGAGAGGATATGATGTAATTCCTGCTGTTAAACCTCCTCCTTAGCAGAACAGATGCTGTTATCTTTTGAATTACAGAGATGAAGTCATAAAAAATTCAGTTAGACTTCTCTCCTATTTTTTTTCCTATCCCAGAGTTCTTCTATTTTAAGATAACAAAATT